CCATCTTTAAAATTTTTATGACAATAATTCTAAATTGTAATGCAGTAGACTCTGAAATCCAGTTTGGAAGGTTCTGTCATCCCTGCCTTTGAGATGTCACGCAGAGCCATGTTTGAGCAAGTAGATGCCACATTTCAGAAAGGAATGGTTGAACATGCAGCTGGAGCTCAGCAACAATTTAAGTCATTCCATTCACCACTAGCACATGCTTTAAGGGTACAAATTAACTATCATATGATCCTCATTCTTGTTATCATTGTTTCCACTTTTCACTCGTGTATTTGAAGGACATTGCCCTCACTTTCTCAGTGATTTTTTTTTTTTTTTTTTTCTCTCGGTTTGGTATCCACATCTCGCTGATTTAAGCTAATATTTTAGGATGCCATTAAATTCCGCATCACCAATGACTCAAACTCTAAACAGCGAGTTGCTCGATGGTCAAAGAAAGATGTTATTGTTGTATATTTGTTCAATAATAATAAGAACCGGTGTGTGGAGTGAAATAAAGATGGAATGAAGTGAAAAAACGGAGGCCAAAATATAAACCTATGCGGTCGCATAGGATCCTTCTATGCGACGCCATAGAAGAAGGAATATAGCCGTTGGGCAGTTTTTCGGTTATGATTTTGGCGGCTTTTCATTTCATTTTGGCACCATTTCGTGTGCCAATGTTTCATGGCTATAAATATGTGATAAATAGACATTGAAACAACATTACAAAAACATGAAAAACATATGGAAAACATTGAGATCCATATTACATTCCATAATCAAGGAATCAAAACTTTCTTTCTTCATATTCATAGAATTCCTCCTTGTGTTCCTGAAGTTTGGGTGGAGAAATGCTTGTGCTTTTGTGTTTCTCCACATCAAGGCTTGATCAATCCTTCAAACCGTTTGCCGCGAGACCCTTTAAGCACCAAAATTAATACCGAGAGGGGGCAAATATCGTTTGAGGACAGCGATTACGCGTTCAAACCTTCATATTCGTTGTGTTCTTCATCTTCTTCATTTCATCTTCTTGATTATTATTTTCTGCATTGTTCGGTTTGTTGTTCTTGATTATATTCATCTTCTTGATTAGTTTTCTATATTATTTCTTCTCCATTTTCCTCGGTGATGCAAATATTTCCAACAATCTCAAACGATATTTTGCGATGGAGAATGAAACCACTTTGGCAACAATCAAGTTGATGGATTGAGATCTTGTTCGTGGGGACTATTTGATGGCTCGACTTGTAGGAGAACTTGAATCTAGATTTTGTCTAAGTCGAAATTGCTCTCTAAATTTGGTAAGTCAAATTGCGTTTCGATTTTATGCTTACATGTGGTATGTGAAGATGATGTGTGCACAACATCGGTGTTATATTCCAATAATCCTAAGATGAATCTTATGTTTGTTGTTCATTTCATATTCTAATTCGAATCTGGAATTCTAATTGGGTATTTTCTCTAAGAAGATACTGGTATTCCATTATCAAATATCCTATATATCCCATCTTCATTTGCGAAGGATTATTTGTTGTCCTTGTTTGGCATTATATGTGTTCTGAATTTGAGATTCTTATGCCAATCTGGAATAGCGTTAAGGCGGTTTCCTAAAATTTGAAATGGTATGAACCTGTTGGAAAATTATCTGTCATTTTCCTTTGGACTGAGATGCCAACCATTGCGTTCTTTTATGTTAAAAACTGCAATGCAATAGAGTCGGCATATAATGCATGTGCTTAATTTGTAATTTATGAATAAAAGAATTTAGATCCTTCTTGAATGTGGGTCTCCGTTTATGAATCACCAGGCCACTTTTGGATTAGAATAATGTTTAATATTCCAGTGCAAAATCATTAAAGCACGTTTGAATTAATTGGTGGCAGTTTGTTTAAGTGCATACGTTGCTTGAAATAGTGGATTTATGCAGTCCTTTCAGTAATCTAAAATGAAAGGGCACAAATTCTTTGTCTTCATGTCGTTTAGTGTAAAATAAATTATATGTTGACATGTATGGTTCTTGATGTGTGCATATATTGTTGAGGAGTATGTTTAGTGGCACAAAACCATAAAAGTCATAAACTATGTGCAAGATGTAAATGGCTGCCGAAACGGTTATTAAATGATGACCCTTCATGCAATTATGGTGGAAAATGAATCTATTTGGCATGATTTAATTGCTGAATTCTGTTTCATAAAATTGGAAACGATTGTGTTTCGTTGTATTATTTGTAATTGTTATGGGAAGAATTTGGTGGTGTCCGTTCAGTGTTTCAAATAAAAGGCCAGAAATCAGATGTTTAATTAATTTGAATGGTTCTTTTGGTGCTTTTATATTCTACTTTGAATCTGAAATCCTACTTGAAAACACCAGTTCTGTATCTGGGTTTAATTTGTGAAGAATTAAATTGCCATTCTAAATCCCGTCGAATGGTAATACATTTGTTGTGAATTTGAATCTGAATTGCCAATCATTGTGTTCCTTCGGAAACGTCGAATTGAGTTTTTTGTACAAAAACCGTCTGTTCGAACAAAATTATTGCTACTGGTTATAAATGATTTTATGAACCAATTGTATATTTGCATGGCTGGAATTAAATATACATGGCTGGAATTATTACATGCACATATGATAAATATATGAACACCATATCAGCACATGGAGATAAATCAATTATGAAAAGTGTCTGATCAATTTATGCTTATAATTCTACTTTATATGCCTACATGCATGTTATATATATATATTCCAGACTAGACGCTTACTTGAATCTGGAAATTGAAGACGAATGTTGCTGCATGTAGAAATGCAATAAATTGATTATTCTCATGGAAACTAGAAATGGTTCTTTGGTACATTGACATTATACAAGCGAAAATTGTTGGAAGAATGCCAGTTACTTGTTGAAAATGTATGAATTTCCATGATTATTTCTTCTACTGGAAAACTGAAAGTGACATGATAAATTAGATGGTCGATTTCATGTCTTGTTGAACTCATATTAACTTGAGTTAATGTTGATAGCCTCATTTAATCATATGGTATTAAGTGAGATGAATTTATGTCTATTATATTTGCATAAAGTATGAAAATTGTGACTTATTCTAGTAGAAAGTGCTTGTGAAATTATTGAGACATAGAACATCTTATAGAGCACAGAGAAGTAGTAACTCTTGTGAATCAAGATGATTAGTCTTATTCATTGATGAATTTGACTTCAATTATGGAACCAATTGAGTTGGTTTATGCTTGAAAAGCATGGTAGGTATATAAGATGACCTTGATCAAATTGTGTGATCAAAATTAAATAGTGGATTGAAGTACATTGTGAATTAATGATAATTATCTGAAAGTATGTAGACTTTCACGATCATTATTGAAGTGATAAGAAATTGAACTACAAAAGAGTTAATAAACTCTAAGTTCAAGTTTAATCCCGAATGTGGGGGTTGACATGTTAAGGAACTCTAAGCTCGAGAATAACCCGAAATGTGGGGGTTAGCATTAATATTATGAATTTATATGAGAAGTTCAAAAATATATCGATGCAACATTACGAGATTGCATAAAAATTCCTAATTAAGGAATTGTGGGGGTAACTTAATTTAAAAGTTACTATATCCTTTACTTTTAATCATAGAAATACATCTATGATGGAGAAAGGTAGAGAAGGCCTTGTATGGATGAAACACGCTAAGTCTAAGTGGATTAAAAGGGCAAAGGCCGATTGTGGCACTTGCAAAACCAATGGAATATTTAAAGAATATTCATTGAAGATCATTGAAATGATTCAATGATGACAAGTGAATACCCAAGTATGAAATCCACAAATTAAAGTGATTGACAAGTGTAATGAGTTAAATCATCCGATCGTGTTAGAAAATCAATGAAGTTTTAAATAAGTTTGGGAGAAGCTTGTAACTTCATAAAATTATTTCTTGGTGGTGACAAGTTGTATCTATCAAATAAATCGATCGTTGGCTAGCTATATTTTGATAAGATACTAAGTCACATAAAATGAGAAGTAAAAGACATATAAGTCTTAGAGATGACGTCACAAGAATTTAGAGGATCCTTTAATTAGACAAGGTCCACCAATGACGGCAACCCTACCTGTCATTACTCAAAAGGTAATTCACGGATTCAAAGGGTAATAACAAGTCATTCGATACGTGGATAGTTGCAGCATTATTCAAATCCGCGATAACTCTATCCTAAGTAAAATAATGCTGGTTGTTACTGAAGTGAGGGTTGAGCATTAAAAGCTCTTAATGAAGTTCAGTGTAGAACACAAGTACCTCTAAAAGTAACAAAGGTACTGGAAGAACTTCACCTAGACTAACTTCGAGGTGGTGCCGCCTCAATAGAGAGTTGGAGTTTCTCTCTTAAAAGTTTGTCGAAAAGGATGAGCGCAAGGCCATAAAAGCGCTAAGCGAATTATGAGGAACTTGAGAACACGTGGTACTTGTGTGTGTGTTCGGACCGGTATTGTCACATGGAATAACTGGTTCAAAGCTACGGCTACCTTTGATTCCGACTTTACTTTGTTTGAATTATACTATGGTTAGATTCAAATCGAAAGATATCTAATCCTTATGCATGAGTATCGTATACTTTAAATATGAGATCTTATTAAGTGTTGAACAAGTGGGGGATTGTTGTATATTTGTTCAACAATAATAAGAACCGGTGTGTGGAGTGAAATAAAGATGGAATGAAGTGAAAAAACGGAGGCCAAAATATAAACCTATGCGGTCGCATAGGATCCTTCTATGCAACCGCATAGACGCCTACAGGGCCTAACGGCCCTGCCTTTGTGAAACCTATGCGGTCGCATAGGATCCTTCTATGCGACCGCATAGAAGAAGGAATATAGTCGTTGGGCAGTTTTTCGATTATGATTTTGGCGGCTTTTCATTTCATTTTGGCACCATTTCGTGTGCCAATGTTTCATGGCTATAAATATGTGATAAATAGACATTGAAACAACATTACAAAAACATGAAAAACATATGGAAAACATTGAGATCCAAATTACATTCCACAATCAAAGAATCAAAACATTCTTTCTTCATATTCATAGAATTCCTCCTTGTGTTCATGAAGTTCGGGTGGAGAAATGCTTGTACTTTTGTGTTTCTCCACATCAAGGCTTGATCAATCCTTCAAACCGTTTGCCGCGAGACCCTTTAAGCACCAAAATTAATACCGAGACGGGGCAAATATCGTTTGAGGACAGCGATTACGTGTTCAAGCTTTCATATTCGTTGTGTTCTTCATCTTCTTCATTTCATCTTCTTGATTATTATTTTCTGCATTGTTCGGTTTGTTGTTCTTGATTATATTCATCTTCTTGATTAGTTTTCTATATTATTTCTTCTCCATTTTCATCGGTGATGCAAATATTTCCAACAGTTATCCCTTGCCGTTGCAGCCTTGCAGGGTCAAATTCTAAAGCAAAGCAGCAAAGCAAACCCGTTGGGTAGCCAACTGAGTAATGGTCCTTTGGTTGGTTTCCATGACAAGGTTTGCTCTGCTCCCACTCCCCCCTCTGTTTTTTTAATCATTTTCCCCCTTTTCTTTTCTAAATGCAAGCAGCATGAACTTTGTTTGCTCATGAATTGAAATTTTGCTGTCGTAATAGCTCGAGGTACCTCTTGATCCAATAAAAGACCTTGCTAGATTGATAGTTGAGTGCAAATACAAGGAGGCTTTCGCTGCAGTGCTGCAGAGGAGTGATGTGTCCAACGTATCATGGTTGTGCTACCAGTGTAGTGTGGTGCTTGGACTTACCTACCCTATTTGTTCCATGATCTATGGCTCTATTGGACCTATCCGCTTCAATCAATTAGCCAAAACAAAAATGCAAACTAGAATTTGTTGAGAACATGAGAAGTATCACAGCAAATAGAGCATACCTGAGAGATGCGGAGCTTTGCTAGGAAGCTTCTACTTCTCAGAGCTTTGTTTCCCCTAAGAATTTCGTAACGCAATGACAGACTTGCAACTAGAGTATATTAGAAAAAGCTTCTCTTTGATGGAAGTCATAGGGAAGTTCAAAAAGTATCCGATCGTAGATGAAGATTTAAAACCTGTGTGGGGTAGGGACGGATGCAACCAAGTGGATCAAGATACTGATTCCAAAAAGTAAAGGAAATATGAAAATCTATACTAGATCTTTCCGACTTCCAATTATTAACTTGACGAATCGATGATGACATTCTCTTATCTGGTGAATGAGTTTATTGAACGAACCTTAGTAACAAAAAGTACAAAACAATTAGAAATAAATAAAAAATTAGCTTTAAGATATCATAATTATTCTTTAGTTTTGGGATTGATTTTTATTCATCCACTCCACCCCCCACTACCTGAATTCCGTTGCTTGATTTGGTGCGGCTCCTTAAAAACATCCTAAACGTTCGAAATAATACTATTTATCATCTTCTACAGTAAAATCTCACACTCATGTGTAAACACATCCCACACCAAAATACACTCTTATAATTGATTGATTTGATCCTCATACCTACGTGTAAACACATCCCACACCAAAATACACTCTTATAAGTGATTGATTTGATCGTCAGAGTGCACACAATCATCTCCTTCACCCTCAAAGAAGACGCTAACATTTGTCCAAGTGTACAGTATGGTCGAAATACGTCACCCATGTAGAAGCTGAGGTCAACATTAACTATAAATTTTACCATAATAATGGGAGGTCGACTGGATTACCCACTGCAATCCAAGGTTTCTTTACAATCTCTATTACTGTCCAAATTTTTTTAATCTCGTACCATAATTGCCATATGTAAGTCCCTGTTCGATGCCCATTACCTGAAAATGAAAATGGGGTGAATAAATTTTTTTATAAAAATGAATAGTTGAAAAAGAAGGAAAAATTTTCGATTTACGTATAATATTATTTTAGAGAAGATTGTGTAGTTGAAAATAGGAGAGAGAAAAATAGAATATAATGTAATTTAATTTAATGGGGATCAAACATGGGCTAAATCATTTCTTCAACAGTTCTAGTTCCAATTTAACGCGACCTTAGCCCATTTAAGTCTCATTATTTCTCGCTACATTAAATTAAAATTTCCTCTCCTACTTTTAATTATATAATATTTAATAAAATAATATTACACGTAAATTAAAAATTTTTCAACCACTCATTTTTAAAAAAAATATTATTCCATTCATTGTAATCTACAAATAATGTGGCTCAAACGGCACCTTAAATTATTCATGACTGTCGAGTAAAATTTGAATCAACTACATGTATACACTTTTTATACAAACTCACAATCGAGGTGGGAATCACAAATCGACATTTTTTTTAAATTCACATGGGGTTCGCTAATTTTGGGAGTTTGAATATATCATTTTGTCAATAAAATTTTGTATAAATATCTTTATCCATCAAATTTCGGTGCGTAAATTGCAACCATCCATTCTCTCTTCACTATAATTATATAAAATTAATTAGAAACACCCAAAAAAAGATTAAAGAAAAGGGCTAAATATATTTGTTTCCTCGAATAAAAATGAAAGGAAAACAAAAGGGAAGGAGGAGAAGAAGAATTTACATAAGATTTATCCACTACTAATTCACCACATAATGGATAATTTTTAATAACAAGCGTACAGAATCACCAACACTGATCCGTTTCCCACCTTCGAGTCGAGTTAAATCTCGTCCTACCCGGACTCCTAAATCCAGAAACACTCGAAGATTGCGGTCTCCTCCGTTGAGATCCGGTGCACAATTTCAAGTCATAGACCGCCCGGGCCTCAGGATCCGACAACGTGCTGTAGGCGTTATGGATCTCAATGAAATTCCGACCATCCGATGATGAAGGCGAACAAATCGATGAATTCATAAAACGCGATGTGGCATCGGGGTGGTATATCTTCGCAAGCGTTCGGTATGCCGTCTTGATTTCCGTTTGAGATGCGTTGTGTTTCACCCGCAGAACCTCGTACAGGCTTCCCTTGTCCACTGCCACCGCGGCCAGCGGCGCTTCCTGGGCCACGGCGGAGCGTATAGACATGTGGCGGTGGTGGGATTGGAAGCAAATTGAGGGTTTAGAAGGAAAAACTGATGTTGCCAGCATTGAAGATTGATAATTTTTTTTTTCTGGGAAGTTGCAATGATTGATTTCCGAGGGAGAAGAAAATGAGGGTTTATATTAAGGTCAGAGGATAGGGAATTGTGGGGCCCACGCGGCCAGCCTTTTTATTTTAGTGGAAAAACTTTTTAATAAAACCGTGTGTTTGCTTGGATAAATTTCTATGTGCTGACATGGCACACTGGATTTCTAGAAGGTTAGGCCTTGTTCTCTTTACCGTTTTCGGGTCGTTTTCTGTTTTCGATTTTTCAAAACGGTGAAAACGCGTTCTCTTTCCCGTTTTCGAAAACGAAAAAAAATTTGTGAAGAAAACACAAAACGATTTTTTTGTCGTTTTGGGCGTTTTCAGTGTAAAACTTGAAAAAATTGAAAACGCGGGAACACTTTTTTTTTTTTTTTTTTTTTTTGGGGGGGGGGGTGGGGGGGTTACAACCCATTCGTTCTTTAGTGTCAAAAAAATTTATTTTTATGTGTAAATTTATTTATTTTTTTATATTAGTTTGACTTTTTTTTAGGAGATAGTGTGGTGATTCTCAAAATTTCAAAAAAAAAATTTTTTTTTGGTGTTTTGAGGTGGTGTTGTGGTGATTCTCAAAATTTTAAAAAAAAAAAATTTGTTTTTTGTTTTGAGAAACTAACAAAAAGAACGCATTTTCAACAATTTCAAAACAAACACTCAAAACACAAAACTCAAAATGAATTCAAAACTCAAAACACAAAACTGAAATACAAAGAGAACACCCCCTTAGCTTCTGTTTCTCAGTCGGCTCCTAATTACGGTTATACCACTATTAATACTAAAAATAAAAAAAGAAATAGGTCCCCTCATAATTTTGATTGCAGTGGTTTCCAACCATTCTTGCTCAAATTTTACAACTAAATATTTTGTTTGTCGTCTCATTCTACACTCAAAATAACTATAACCATTACAAATCATACGTAAAATACAAAAAAAAATTGAAGTACTCAATCTGTATAAAATAAGTAGGACTCGCCATTTAATTGAGATCCAAACACATATCAATTCAATAATGACAGGTATACGAATGAAAATAGCAAGTCAGTCAATTACTTGTACATTCCTTTTATTTCAATTGTTATCAATCAAACGTTCTTCTAAAAACACTCTATATGAAATGGAAAATGACAATTTGTCAAGATCATTTGCACAAATTCTGGCTAGACTATCTCTCAAACAAGGGGGTCCACACCCATTTTATAAGGACAAAAAAAATGCCCACCCTCTCATAATCTGGCCAAGGTCTGTGCAAATGACCTTGACAGACTAGTATAGTCCATATGAAATTTACCATGTGCCCGCCCTCCTTAGTCTTTATATTCATCATTGCCCGAAAATGCCAAAACCACGTAAGGCCTATTTTTATTTCTTTATTTTTGTTTTGTCACTTAAAATCTTTCAACTTGAGGAATAACTAAAAAGCATTTTATGACCACTCATAACCGAGATAACGTTACATTAATTGGAATAAATAATAGTAAATCAAATTGTATAAGTGAATCAATGTTCAACTCTATATTAAATTTACCGTGTGCCCAACCTTTTTAGTCCTTGCATCTATTATTGCTCAAAACTTCAAAAACGACATGCCAATTGCCAAGCCTTCTAGAAGGCCCATTTTTATTACTTTATTTGTGATTTTTTTTCACAAGTCGTTTTAAGTAAAAGGTTTTTAACTTGAGATATAATAAAAAAATATTTTATGACGACTCATGGCTCGAATAACGTTAGATGATTTGGAATAAATAATATTAAATTGAATAGTATAGCACTAAAACATGAAAAGAGTAATATATCTTAATTTTTTTTTCCAGTGACATACTCATACATGAATTGTTTAATAAAATTTGATGGGTGAGATGAAATTGATTTATTAAATAAAATAAGCAGAAAATGACATAAATCTCAAATAAATAGAAATAATCGACAATTTGTCGCATCTGTATAATCAAAGTGATGTATTTACCCAACAACTGTGCTACACATCTAAAGTAAAAAATAGGTACATAGACAGGATGACATGTGTTATTCCATAATTGAACAGTTTGAAAAAAAAAATTCAATAATTTGCTGCCACCTCAGGCTGTCTCCTCGCCAATGCCAAAGAGGGCAGTTGCAATAATTCTACTCTTACAAAGTTGATATACAAAAGTGGAGTACCAAAATGTGTTGGCAAAATTTGAACCTTTAATTTCAAATAATTTAAAATTTTATTTTTAAAATAATTAATATAAATTTGATTTTGTAAACTCGCTTTATCATCATAGCATAGCTCGGCCAATTGCAAATGGCCAAAGATTGGTTATTAAGCTCTTGCGGGTGCCAAATCTTCCAGAAGGTGTTTCTCTTTCACTCCCCAAAGGCCACAGTGCAAAGTCTTTTCTATTGTGGGCCCAAATGTTTTTGCCATATTTTCAAAGTAGGGGCGGGGCCCAATGTCTTGTACTAATTGGCCTTTAGCCTAAACTGAAAATGACTTTTGAAATGGTGAGTTTTTAAAAAAATTGTGATTTAAAGTATGATATATTTTTTTTTTTGAATTTGAGTAAAAAATATTTTATTGTAAAAATATATGATTGAATATAAGTTTGAAAAAAAAAAAGAAGTTTAAAACAATGATAGATCAAATAAGGGCTTAGTTCCAAATTGGTAAAGATAACATGATAGTGACAGGGTTCGATAATAGTCACGATGTAATTCGAGAGATCAATAGATTTATGAATTGTGATTAACTACGTCGCTTATTATTTTAATCTTATCTTTTTGTAGTAGACAAGGGGCCATGAGCTACAATTGGCAAGGATGTGACGTGATATTTTACCACTTGCACAACTGGTTGATTTGCTTTAACAAGTGGAATATGCAATAATACACTTGCACACCCCTGTCTGCCCCATTATTCCAAAAAATTATTTTTTTTTTCAATTACACAATTCTTTACAAAATAATATTATACGAGAATCGAAAACTTTTATATCTTTTTCAACCATACATTCTCAAAATAATACTATTCCAAAATTATCATTGCCATATAGCCCCCATTTATTTCCTATTTTTTTCTTATTAAAATAAAAAATATGACCGTTATTCATTATATCAAGCCATCAAATTGAATTTTTATCTGTTGTGTGGAGTTCGTAACGATTATATTTTTCTTTCTCATTCTTCTAAAAATGGGAAAAAAAAACAAGGCCTATTTGGAGGCCAAAAGGGGGCTAAGTAGAAAAGTTTAAAAAGCTATGCATTCTGAAAATTGTGTCCACAACATAAGGATGTTAAAATGTGTGGTCTCACCTAAATTGACTCAAATACATGTAAATTTTTTGAATTTGAATTGGTTTGTCTAAAAATATTATTTGAGCCAAACTCAAACCGTCTTCGAAATTTGTGAACTAGACCGGCTCTTGAATGTTTTAAAAGTGAATTTACTAGTAATAGTACAATGCTTTAGTAACGAAGCCGACTGTGTATTCCAAAATTTGCGTCGATGACATAAAGGTGTTATAGTCTGACCTAAATCGACTTACATACATGTAAATTTTATGAATTTGAATTGGTCTATCTAAAAATATGATCTAAGCCAAAATCAAATCGTCTTCAAAATTTGTGGATTAGAATGGCCTACGAATATTTTTCTAAAAGTGGAATTTACTAGTAATAGTAATATGCTTTAGTAATGGAGTCGACCATGCCGATCGTCATGGATCAGTGGGATTAAAAATCTAACTTGGCCTGTTCCACATAATTGGCGAACTGGTTTCGATTTATATTTTTAACAGACTAGTTCATTCCAATCTAGTCTGGGAGCCTATTTTTACACAACTATGTTAACGTATGAAGCTACTAAGATTTGATACATACGTTTTCGGTGCGACTTCAAAATCTGGTATTCTTTTGTTAGAGTTGAAATATGTTGAGCGTACCCAATCAACTAAATGGAAGGGGAAAAAAATGAAGCGTCAGAGGGCTTGGTCAATCCCGAAAGTAAACATAAAAATAGTGCACACGTTTCTTGTGAGATATTTCAAATTAAACAAAGAAATTAAAAATCAAAGAAACTAAAGTTGAGATGAGGATAACGAATTTGGATGAGTTTGGTTGGCTTTCCCATCGCATGCCTAGACCTGAAGTTGTGTCTAAACAATTTATTTCATATAAAATAATTGAAAATTGGTCAATACACAAACTAATTAAGTAGCATACAAATTATACAATCCCTATCAATTGTTTTGATGTAGTACAAGGTCTTGAAACATCGGATTTTCCTCATTTGTTTAGACAAAATTATTACCGCTTGCTTGAAATCGATGTAGGGTTCAAGTAATTTATTTAAAATTATTTAGGCATAATTTTAAAATTTATTTTTTTTTAACTCATTTTTAATCAGTCAAATAATTTTGTACATGAACTCATAACTTTTTTTAACTTTTCAATCACATATTTTCCAATAAAAAAAAAATTCACTTTTTCACTAAATTCATCATGAAAAAGTCTTCATCAAACATATCATAAATCTCAAAGTCCATGTTAACACTATTAAAAGGGCTAATCCAAACTTTAGATTTTACTATATTTATTATTGTTTTCATATTTAAACTATGAGGTTTTTTTTTTTTTTATTGCAAATGGTGTGGGGTTGATGAGAAAGCTTAAAATCATTTGTTTATTTAAGTTTTACAGAGATTGAGTTATTTGTTCGATCTTTTAAACTTTAATATCATATTGAGTTTAAAGATCTATTTTAAAAAGTTAACCTCATTCCTTGTAATGGTGAACTAAACAATTGATCATTATTTCCATATTTAAAAATACGAGAAGAATAAATTAAATTGAATATCAACGCATACATTAACTATAAAAAGTTAAGAAAATTGTTGTTGTAAATCACCATTTACATAATCTTTTACAAATTTATAAAGTGTTGAAAAGAAAGTGAAAAAAAATACCAAATAAGATTTTTATTCAATCAAAATTTTCCACATTATCTGTTGCTAAATCAATTAATAAGTTGTAAAAATTTAACG